GAAGGAGGGTCGATCCGACAGGAAGGAGGGTCGATCTGACAGGAAGGAGGGTCGTTCCGACAGGAAGGAGGGTCGTTCCGACAGGAAGGAGGGTCGTTCCGACAGGAAGGAGGGTCGATCCGACAGGAAGGAGGGTCGTTCTGACAGGAAGGAGGGTCGATCCGACAGGAAGGAGGGTCGTTCTGACAGGAAGGAGGGTCGTTCTCCAGCTGAGCCTGCAGCATGCTCCATCCACCTCTCTGGACCTAATCATCTCTAAAAGGCAGCGGCGGTTCTGGTCCACTGGAACCTCTGTCAGATCCATAATATCTCCATGGTCCATCCTCTGGATCACCAGCTTCTGATGGATCTACTTCTATCATAGATATAAAGGATGTAGAGTGTTAGCAAAGGCTCCTGGTTACCTTAGAGACGGTTCCCCACTGAGCAACGACTGGTTGGTCTAAACCATCGGAGACGATGCTGTTTTAATCCAGAAGTTCAGACATGAATCTAAACATGAGGGTGATGGAAAGGAGGCCTTTTTCCCTCAGTGGGAGGTTTCCTGTCCTGATCATGCAGCCCTGAGGACTGATGTTTGGCCCCTGAGGACTGATGTTTGGCCCCTGAGGACTGATGTTTGGCCCCTGAGGACTGATGTTTGGCCCCTGAGGACCCGCTGAGGCCCTCACTGCTAACAGAGCGTCTGCAGGAACGCGGCTTCCTTAATGGCTCAGAAACCAGGCCGTCTGCGTGTCGCAGTTAGCTCAGATATGCCCCGCCCCCTAACGCAGACGCTCTGCTGCACCTCTCCACCATGTAGCTGACCGCAGACAGGAGGCCTCTGATTGGTCAGATCTACATCCACTCTACTCTATGCATTTTTCCTGTTTGGTTCCTTACCGGCTGGCTTTGTTTGTCTGACCGCCATTTTGGAAAACGACTGGTGAAGATGGAGCAGCTAGCAGAGCGAGGTGAGAACGCTGGGACCCTTTTTCCACCTGGATCCCTGCTCTTTTTGGCCCTCATGTCCCTCTGTTGTCTCACAAACTTGCCCCCACTTCCTCACCGCCTCGGCCGTATCTAGACCCACAGCTAGTTCCTGATTTGCCCTCTGGCGTCTGGGCGTGGAATAACAGCGCAGACCACGCTTCCATGTTGGACAGGAATTAATGCAACAAGAATATTGATGTTAGCCTGTTGCTGATGAAGCCAGAAATATTTCAGGCTGAGTCCCCCCCCCCCCAGCTGTTTGATGCGCTGACATTAACGGCGTTGGAGGCGGAGCTGTCCCTGCAGACGCAGCAGCAGAACCTGTTTGGACCTGGGGGAGAAATCACTGACATTCAAGGATCTTCCTGGAGACATCAGGAGAGGAAGAAGACGCCGCTGAGGGACAGCAGGAGCCAAATGATCTACGACGCCGGAGGACATGAAGCCATCTCCTTCTCAGTGCTGAGATGGGAGCACTGGTTAAACTGGTTGGACTGAAACAGTTTCTGTGCAGCTCAGGATGATTAGAAGATGTCTGTAAAATTAAAACCTTGAAAATTAGAGTTTAATTCTTTGTAGAAAACAGTTGGAGAAGAAGGAACAGATGGGATCTCCTGAAGGTCTCCTCAGGGTTTGACATGCTGGTCCACCTGGAGGACATTCAATCCAGTTCAGTTTATGTATAAAGCAGCGAGGAGACCCTGCTTCAGAGGATGAGGAGAACAAATCCATGACATGGAAACGACTCGGTGACTCTGGATCTCTGATTCACATCATCTCAGGTCACTTTCCAGTTCCACCAGTTCATCCAGTCAGATTGAATAATAAACTATTCAGTTTATTTCTATTCTCTAATCATAACAGCTCTTTATAGATCCAGATCCACCAGATCATCCAGTCAGATTAAAGTTTTCTATCTAAGGAAAACCAGCTGATTGCATCGACTCATTGACTCTTCAGCAATCCCTCACACTAAGCATGCTGGTAGCGACAGTGGAGAGGAAAAACTCCCTTTGAACAGGTAGAAACCTTTTGGTTTTTAGCAGAACCCAGAAGGACCAGGCCGTCCAGTGGGGAGCAGGCAGAGGTGGAGCGATGGGGTCACCTGGTCGTCTCAGGTGTGTCTAGTTTAATCCTCTGAGCAGATTCAGTGGCTGCAGAACAAACACAGGACATGGAGATGACCTGGTGACCCCTCAGCTCCGCCTGTGGGAGCAGGTGGGGAGGGTTAAAGGTGAGACAGGAAGTCTCAGCTCCTCTTCTGATTTCGACCGTTGCGTAAAATATATAGAAATAAACTGAATAGAATTGATAGAACCCCCCCCCCAGGAGGTTCTGGAGCCCATAGAGTCAGAACGTGTGAATGAGAAGCAGCTCTGCTCACCTTGGCCCTCAGCACGGTGCAGTGCAGCTCGCTGCAGCTCTGGTCGTATTTCAACTCGAACTCCAGCGTCCCCAGAGCCGCTGAGGAGAAGCAGAGAGAAAGCAGCGGCGCATCAGTGGGCAGCAGAGCGGTCAGCGTTCACAGCCTGCCTGACGATCAGGAGCATGCAGGAGAACAGCTGAACCCCCACACAGCACGGGTCAACATGCTGAACGCTGTGGAACGACTCACCCACAGCATGGAGAAGAACGGGCTGATGTTCTCCCAGGGTTCTTATATAACATCAGCCTGATGACTCACACAGACCAGCAGCTTATTCCAGGAAACAGCTCCTAAATAAAGCTGCGTTACCCAACAACGTGTTTAGATGCTGCTGTAAACTGTCCAGGAGCTGGAGACCAGCCTCCATAACTCCAGACTGCTGCAGGACCGGCCCTGTGGAGCCAGGAGGTCTGTTCTCCAGACTGCTGCAGGACCGGCCCTGTGGAGCCAGGAGGTCTGTTCTCCAGGCTGCTGCAGGACCGGCCCTGTGGAGCCAGGAGGTCTGTTCTCCAGGCTGCTGCACAGACCGGCCCTGTGGAGCCAGGAGGTCTGTTCTC